TGCGCGTGCTCCTGTACTTTTAAATCGGCATTCATACTTACCATCCTCCATCATCGCTCTCGTGATTTGCAGTAACCGAAAATAATTTACAATAAATATACATGAATATATATACATCCAATGCAACTATAAACAAGAGCAAGGCGAAACTGACTACTTTACACCTCAGCAAGATGAGGTCAACACAAAACCGACCACTGAAGTTTCAGCTCGTGATATAAAAGAGAATAACGAATTGGAGCACGAAGTGTTCCATGTGCACGAAATATTCTACCAAGACAGGGATGACACGACAACTTAAATAATGCAGCCTTTGCCATGTATCACACGTAAAACGCTAGCGTTTACAGGATAAAAGATTAGTGTCACCCATAACACACAGTAAATTTATTAGTGAACGTAGTATATGACAAACTCATTAATTGCAATTTATTATCACCTGGGGTGATCATCCAGGATTCATGAGAGACTAACAATTCTGCTGTAGGACAAGTGTTTTGCATTCAGTAATAAAATAGGCAAGACTAGCATTTAGTGATGTTCCGTAAGGCCTCCATGCCTGTCAGATGAGGATTCAAGTAAAAAAATTGAACTCCTGCAGAATCTGAGGTATGCAATTCCTTCACTGCCGAGTGAAACCAAACATTTAATAGGTTATTCCATTTGTTTAACAAATAACACCCCATTTACCGAAACCCCCCGTTATCAAATAGCAGAGCACCCAGCATACTGCAAGACCAATTTGAACTAATTGCTTGAAGAATCGCTCAGCGTAACAAATTTATGTGAACGGAATGTGTCTTTGAACAACAAAAACATCGCAGGTTTTTGTTAAAATTTCAGTGCTTAGACCTAATTTTGCAGCAGTAGAATGAATGCACATACGTGAATGTAATTGTAAAGCGAAAAGTTAAAATGTCAAAAAGCTTATGACCAAAATTCTTGAATAACAGCATTACAGCTGCAAAAAGACATAACTCAGAAAAAGTTTGACGCAATACAAGTGCAGAAGCAGATCCAAATTTTTAAGAAGAATTTTGACTAAACATATTACAAGACGTGGTAAACCACATCATGACATACCTGGATTCCATTTCAATCTCTTTTGGTGCCTTTAATGTGCATTTGCCATTAAAAACATAGCTTATTATATTTTTGTCCTGTTTTTATAAATTTGTAAGACAATCAGTACACTTTATTTGCCACCCCTGATTCTTCTTGAACACTCGATTGGTGAACCTATCTATTCACAGGCAAAATTATGCCAGCAAAAGGAACACTGGTAATGAATAAGCAAAAAAGTGCTAGTCATTGCCTCTTGTCATATTCTAAAAAGGAGTGAATACAGCCAGGATCATTAGACCCCATCCAAATACGAAAAAATAACGCTTTGGCTCAAAGGAAGGCTCTCAATATCAAGAGTTGTCTAGTATCCCATGCAATTCGAGTGTCTTAATATAGGCATAAAAGAAACTATGAATTTAGCAAGTCTCAATAGTTGCTAGCCAGAATTTCATGCTAATTTATGCTTTTAAATGCACAGTAAGTCAATACTTATTTTCACAACATATGCATGCTTCTCTAGACCCATTGGTGCAAGGTGCAAACCATGACGGATGACAAAACGCTCCTCTGGAGCCCAACCCTTCATATATGCTGCTAGTGCATCGCAAGGTTATCTTGTATGCAATGAAGCAACTCAGATCATGTAAATCTGCCATTCAAATGCTGATAGGCAAAGACATTTGGACCTTCACGTTTGCTGTGATCAGAACATTATGCAATAGCAAACGCAGGTGGGAGGTTACATTTGATATCCCTCGAACCGTAACACATCAACTGTTGATAGAATTTCCCTGTCAATTTACTGGTTCCGATCGCGATTCTACTTCCGCTGAGCATGTGAAACTGTGATACACGCAGACAATTAATCAAATCCCAAAGTCACGTATTTGAATATAAGATAAAGTGCGAATAGTAAGCAACTTGTAAAATCTGGCTCAATTTATTCAACATGGTGTCCAATAAATATCCAATTTACTACTTTGCTCTTCTTTCTCCGTGTCGTTGGGAATTTTATCCGTTGCCTTCCCAAAGAGGGCAGAAAGCATATATTACCCAACTGGCACTTCTACAATCTAGAAAATGTTATTAACAGTGGCCAGCATTTTGCTTCATTACTATGGGGCCCATAATAAAGTCGAGTTTTAATTGAATTTAGTGCCTTATTTTGCAACGCAACCAATATGCTAGCTTAAACTTGGAGACTTTAGCCTTTCCATTAACTCTCGTCAGTCAAGACAATGTCTGCTATGCGAGCGATCTTTGTTCTCGGTTAATAGCACAGCACACAATTGCACAAAGCTCGACCACTACAGCTATGGTGACTGCTGCCGCGTTAGACATCAGGAACGAGAGAACCAAAGTCACCAGTTGTACGGGTGTTAAAGCTGTGGGATGTTGAACGGAAGAACCGAGATTACCAGTCTTCAAAGTGACTGACTGGGACAGATATGGAACTGTGTTATTATGCATGAGTTTTCATTGAAGAAACACCAAATTACAAGTCAGTTGTGTATCACTTATCTTTTTGGCAAAAACTACCTCCTCTAGACAAGTGGCAGCCCTTGATCGCTGTGAGGTGTGGTCGTGTGCATCTGCAGCAGGTGCTGCTGATTCAATTGAACTTCCAATAGGGTGACTAGAGATCAGCTGTGCCTTCGTTTAGGACTATTTCTGCTTTCGCAAGTTCTATACGATCCACCTGTTTGTGCAGATCTTAGAAAAACTTAAGTGCCTTCACTCAATGCTTCATATTAAATCATATTCTCCAGTAACAAAGGCAATTGGTATATATCGCTTGCACACAGTTGCTTGGATTAAGTGATACCATTTCGCTCACGCTTAGTTTGTGAATAATTAAGCGAGTTTTGACTGAACTTCAGTTACCTAACTGTATTCGAGTAATTCACAGTCTAGGTCGTAATAGCTGTCCTCCAGTTATAAGAGGTTGTCCAAACATCACAATCAATCCGAGTTTGCGAGTGCAAACTGCAGGCGCGGTGAAGTGATGGCCGCAAGATATTCGCTTCACTTAAGTGGCATGATTAAAACCATTTTTAGTTGGCACATGTCAAGACCACTTAATATAACATGGTGTAATGTCTGTGTAATTCGTTAACTGTTTAACTATTGATTCAGTTAATGGGGGCCATTTGTGTCTTGTCCATTAAAACTTCGCAGGGTAGGCTGG